CTGCGTGATGGGAATAAAAAATAGTGATGTTGAGTCGAGTCCAACGTTCAGCGTCATAGTCCCAATCAATGTGGCTGAAGCGGTGGAAGTCGTGAAGGTTGGAAACGTTCAGGTTGGCTTCAACTAAGAGGCGGGCAATGTGTGTGTGGTATGGGGTGTTGCCGCGGCTCAGCTGGCTAGCTTGGTAGTTGAGCCAGATTTTGATTTGCTCGTGTTGTGGCGAAGCTGGGAGGACAGACAAAAGGGTTTGGAGGTCGTGTCATGGGGGTGTGTCGGGACGGAGGGTCAGTTTTGGCTTGGATTGGGGATCAAACTGATGGTGCTGCGATGATAGCGATGTGAGTGGTCTGACGCGGGACTGGGAAGTGACGGTGGAGTAAGATGGGGTGTGGCGGGCGGAGGGGGGTGGTTCTCGTCAGTCGGCGATGTCTGGTTGTGTGTGCGCCGATGACTGGAATGGTGGCGGTGGTGACAGGGATGGCGACGGTGGCGGCGCCCGTGATGTCGCCGTGTGGGTGTGCGAGATCTGTGTTGGGGCGCGATCAGGCTTTGAAGGTTGAGCTGAAGCGGGAGGTGTTGTGGTGGTTGGCTGTCCCCTTAATGCCTCAGATTCTTCTTGCGTGCCCACCCGGAGACACGCCGTGGCCAGAAGCTCTGCCTGCGTAGTAGTGGTGGTGGCCTTGCCAGCGCGGGCATCGGTAGCTGGGTCGGTGATTCCGGCGGTGGTGCTTGGCCTGTGGGTTGTTGTTGCCGGACTGCGAAGGTGAGTGTTGCTGCTGTGGAGGTGGTTGTTGTGGTAGAAGTAGAAGTAGAAGTAGAAGTAGTAGTAGTAGTAGTAGTAGTGGTAGTAGCAGTGTAGTAGTAGTCGTCGTCGTCGTAGTGGTAGTGGTAGTGGTAGTGGTATAGTGGTAGTGGTAGTGGTAGTGGTAGTGGTAGTAGTGGTAGTGGTAGTAGTGGTAGTGGTAGTGGTGGTGGTGGTCGTAGTAGTAGTAGTAGTAGTAGTAGTAGTAGTGGTAGTACTAGCAGTAGTAGAAGGAGTGGTAACAGTAGCAGTAGCAGTAGGAGTTGTAGTTGTTGTAGTTGTAGTTGTAGTCGTAGTCGTTGTAGTAGTAGTAGTAGTAGTAGCAGTAGTTGTAGTTGTAGTTGTTGTGGTTGTGGCTGTGGTCATGGCTGTGGCTGTGGTTGTGGTGGTGGTTGAGGAGTGGGGGTTGCAGGTGGATAGGAGGTTGGACTGGTGGCGCAGGAGCGGTAATGATTGGAAAAACGGTGAGGGTTGAGGGGTTTGCCAAACGCCTTGGGGAGTATCCCATTGGATCGCAAAAAATACTTGAAGCGCAGGTGGTGAAGCGGTGGTCTGGATCTGCGGAACGGCGACTGTGGTGGTAGATGGATCGGACGGTGGTGGAGGTTGAGCTGTGGTGACGTGAACGACTGGACAGGTTGGTGGTGTTGGTTGTCCATTGGGGGGCGTGGGAATGAGCTGTGGTGCCTGCTGGTAAATCTGTGGCGGCTGCGGTGCTAAGTGAGGTGGATAGGGCCAGGGGAACTGCATCGGCGACGGCAGCGCTGCAAAACGGCGGCGCCCCGGCAGTGAAACGAATGAAGACGAAGGCGGGAAAAACTAAAATGTGGAAACGGCGCGACGTCAATGACATTAGAACATTGAAAAATTGGCATCTGGAAAAATTAGTGCATGAATCACGAGTGCACTCGTCTCATTTTCAGTGCACGAATCTCCGTGAACTCGGCAGTATCCTTCAGCTCTTTCATGAAAGCAGATTTGATCTGGAACTGGCTCATGGTGCAAACGAAGGAGTCGGAAGTGAGCTGCTTTGATTTCGGCGCCCCGTAGGGATCACACAGCACACCCAAGTGGGAAGATGCTGCTGGTCACACTTATTGTATATATCTCAACTGAATGAGCATAAATTTCAGAAGCTGGATCACGGGTGCATTAGCGGCTAGCGCTTGGCGATGCTGCGTTAGACGACCTGGCAACTCACCTGTGGAAATGGCCCTGCTCGCAACGGAAAGGTGAAAAGGTCAGCGAAACCATATTGTTGAAAATCGCTCAACTCCGCAGGTACGTCAACTCGGCGTCCCGAGTTGATATCACAGACCGGTGCAAGCGTCTTTGTTAGTGCCAGACTTGCACGGTCCCTCGCACCCCCTGCTGAGTGAAGAAACTCTTAGAAACAGAGCGTGGCACACACACGCACACCAGTTTCAACCGAAACCTGAAGGCTTTGTGGTCCAACAAAAAGAGTGCGTGGGGCCGCTTTGCAGCTTTTTACATCGTAACTATCCTCAGCGACGAATTTGTACCTTGGTTAGGATTGGCTACTTGACTTGCAATCTTTTCCTTCACAAAGACCACGAGCTTATGCTGCTACTGATCAACACCATGCAGCGGGACTTGCAGAGTGCCAACCACATTGAGGCTCGCCCGCCAAATAGAATCAAAAATCACATAGACGTTGCCTTGTGTTCCCTGTGGTTCTCCAGGTGTGTTCTGCCCTTGCGTCCGTTTGTCGACTTGCCTCGCTGGCACGCTTAAAGCAGCGCACAAAAGAAATTGTTTTCTGAGATGAACTGAGGTGAATTTGGAAATGATTCCAGCAATATCACCCTTAGTCTTCAAACTCTTATCTCATCCGCAAGAGGTGCGCAATGTTTTTGCTAAAACCCCAGCGTCGGCGCTGCACCGCTCCTTTTTCTCAGGCCGTTCGGAAGAAGGCAATCGTAGCCGTCCACAAGTTCTTCAAAATTGTTCCAGAGGCAGTTTTGGACCAGAAGGAGGGTCAATCCACTTCAGCAGATTCCAAACAGCGAGAGGCTTAAATTTTCAAAAAAAATCCGGACCCAATCTAAAAGCAGCAAACTTCTACCTCTTTATCACATTGAAGTTTTTACGAAGGCATTGGCAAGACAAAACATGAGATCATCGTTTCAAAATTCGTGAGACTCGTTTTCTTTGCAGGACCAGATTCGAAAAGTCCTGTGCGATCCAGATCCCTCAGTTATGGGTGCATCACTCCATGTGCTGTGTGAGGCTGAAGTCGATTTGTGGACCAAGGGTTTCAGAAAGAAAAACAACCATTGAACACGGAAGATTTGTCAGATGAAAGCGGCTTGTGTAAGACCAGGCTTACTACTGACTTGGCTGTTTTTTTGTTGAGCTGTCTATGTTTCCCCTGCTTCGTTCAGGATCCCACTTTCACTATTTACGCTCGAATGCTTGAGTGCGATTCAAACTGATGCAGATGCAAAAGTCCCCAGCAATATCACCTGTATACAATATACATCATGCCTCACCTGGCCGAAGAGCTGGCACTACCACAATGCAATGACTTTATACTATGACTTTCATACCGGATTCATACTCTGATGTGGGAATCGTTATGTTCAGCTGTCTTTTGTTTCCTCTTCGAACTGCTCCAGATTGCCAAAGCTCATCCCGCGTCTAGCAAAGATTTGGTGCCTTCATTTGTGAGCATTCTGAAGCACCGCACTCAGCACCCCAAAAGAGCAGTGCTCAGCTCTCAGTGTTTGTTTTTCCGCGAATCCCACCGACTGAGCGCTCAGCTGTGTTTCTATGGGCTGAGTGGCTTTAGGCAGATCACTGAGCACCGACTTCCTCGCGATTTTGATTATCATCGGATGCCTGCACCGTGGCTCCAGGTGCATACGTCATGCAGTGCACTGGAGCCGCGTAGAGTTATAACAAGTGATTAACAAGTTTGTCAAGCTCACAACACAGGTGAAGCTCCTCTCCATTCTCAGCATTCTTGGAACTGCTGACAAAGCAGCTTCAGAACATATGTACGAGATCCTACAGGACACGAGGGAGCCAAAGGGCAAAACTTCGAACAGAGGGAAGGGTTCTGGGAGCCTGGGAGCCTTCAGGGAAAGATGCCGCTGAGCTATTCAAAGAAAGCTCCAGCTCGGCTTGAGTGCGTTTGCCGATCTTAGCTCACATACTGACCTGCGCACTCCAGGTGGCACCTCTGATGACATGTGTTTTGGATTCTGTCAGTTCACCTCCAAAGATGCTGACTATGCTAGGAATGCATGCGGCGAGCTGACAGTGGAGTCAATGTGGGCTATGCGATCATCTACGAATGTGTCAAGTCACATGGAAGCAATAGTCATGTGAATATATGTACAATGTAAATTATATCCGGACAGAAGTCTTGCACTAGGAGCTCTGTCAGGTGCATCACGAGAATTTTTCCTGATCATGGCCTCCTGGAGCTTGCTGCATCCAACATATCTAGGCTGGAGCAGATGCAATTACTTTGCGTTGCACAGCGTGGCGCCGTGTTGCATAGCGTTGCGGTAGAGTAGTCGTTAGAGGGTGCTTGATAGATATGATAGATATGTAATTGCCTTTTGGGCGGAGTAATTTAACAAGTCACTTCATTGAGGGCAATCTTGTTTATGCATGTCAGGAATAGGACACTTTCCAGAATTTTGTGTTGCCGCTTTCTCTGCTTTGCCCTCTGGCTGTAAAGGTTTCGCACACTGTGTATGCGTGCACGGTTTCGAACTATTACATTGACGCGTGCTTGTCTGACGGTCCGACTTTTCCAGGTTTATCTCCAGCGAAAATCACAACTTGCGGTACTTGGGTGTCACTGGATTGGCTCAAATTGTGCAAGTGAACCCGTGCTGTCCTCAGTGAAGGGCTCTTCAGATCCTGCAGTTTTGAGGATTCCAGGATGGCTGTCTCACAAGAGTAAAGTAAGGGGGACTCGCAGGTCAGCAAAAGAGTGTCCTTTTCTTGAGACCACCCCATTCAGCATTCAGTTTTCCTTCAAAGGGCTTATGCCGCAGAGCATCAGATGGTGGTGGTAGACTGCTTGGAGGAGTGCCTTCAGACTAATGCGCTGAGATGAAGCAAACATTCAGAGTCAGAGGACCCTGATGAGACTTTGAAGCGAAAGACGTTGGACCTGCCGCATGAGCTTGATTAGTCTTGTGACTTGTGCATTCTTCTGCGTTGTACTGCGTCATACAGTTTACTGTGGATTCTGGAATTCTGTGGGGTTTCTTTGCTTAGTGGTGCTTGATTGTAGGCTTTTCAGAATGACAAATCCACAGAACGTTGTGGTGGTGGCACCAGCCTTGGATGGATCATCCTGTCGCCCTCTAGTATGTTTACATGCAGAAAGAATGATTCAATGTGCTAGGGTGGCTGTCTTATCGAGCTGGCATTTTGCGCCCAAGTTCTTTGTGTCAAAAGCTTTTCTCGTTGATTTTTTGCTTGACCAAGGTTGACAAACTGACTTTTCATCTGCGAACCAGTGTTGCCGATGCCTGAAAGCTATCTATGACATTTTGCAAAGTAGCGCCGCGACTGCCAAGTTTTTGCTGTAAGGACTCACACCTTCGGAGGGACTTAGTTCAGAAGATCACATCGCTGGCAGAGCGGTTTGCTCCTGACAATGAATGGCACCCACCACGCAAAACTTTGTTTGTGCTTGTGCAAGCGGTTTGTTGTGCCCGTTGTGTCCAATAGAAACAACATTTTACAAAGAGTTTGTCTGCGCATAGTACGCGATGTGTGTGTGTGTGTGTTGGAGTCAAAGGGGACCTTTCGGTCTTTTGGTTTTAATGCAGGGGGCACGGAGACTGATTTCGTATCCATGCCAACGAAGCTACGGAAATCAGTTGGAAGAGAGTTGGGACGCCAACTCTTAGTACCTGCAACGTGATCCGGTTGTGACGTTGAGAAGCCACGCTCCAATTTAGATTTCAGGCTGGTTGGGTGGAGACAGGTCTGCAGACTTTGCACGCTTCGTCGGGTGTTCGATCGTTGAGTTGACACAAGGAGACTTCAAGCTTTGCGACTCACATGGTCAGACCGCTTTACATATCTTGGCCCTTGTATCCTTAGGCACTCACACCTGGATGGGTGTGTGGCGTGAGGTATTCAATTCCTTATGCAATATCCCGAGTGTGGTTGGCTTCATGCCAGCCCAGGCTGTGGCCCTGCTGGGCAAGGGATTGTCTCATTCTCCTGGCCGGGGAACACCGCAGCTCGCAGCGAGCGTAGGAGGCTTATGCCAAACGTTGATTAAGACCTGACGATGTGGCTAAAGCTTGAGCAGGCTGAGTGCCGAGAGTTGCCGGCAGCGGGCATCGTAGCCAGTCCTTTTGACACGGCCAGAAGCAGACCGCAGCGGTCTCAAGATGTTTCTGGCCTAGTGCCAGCCAGGGGTGAGCCCGACGAATGCCAGGTTCGTCGATGTCCCTGCGCCCGACACCAGAGGAGACCATAGTGGACGGAGTAAGCTTGGGCCAGAGCTACATTCAGACTTGCTGACTCACATGATATTGGGTAGGCAGCCCCTGGCGCGTCATGAATGGTCCAACACGCATGTTGCTGAGGCTGTGGTGCTCTTGCCGTAAAACAAGATGTGGAGGTCCTCCTTGGCGGCGCGGTAGTGCGTCGTAATTCTTCATGGTCAGGACACACCCATTGCCGGCTGGGATTGCCCAAGCGATTGCAGCCCACCATTGAGCAGCGTTGCGCCAGGTGTTTTTGGAGATACCTTACCGAGGGCAGTGCTCCCGGTCCTCCTCCAACAGGTGGGTGTCCGTAGCCCCTATCTTTTCCCGCACAGTCTTACTGGCCTGAGGGGTCGGATTGTCCGGCTCAACCCTTGAGGCGATAGCTGCCTCCTTTGCCCCTTCCACATCCATCCCCCAACTTGGACCGAGCGCGTTGAGCTCCGGAAACTGATTCGAACCAGGAAGCCGCAAAGGGCGGAGTCATGCAAGCAGCGTCTGCACAAAACCGTCACAAGACCCAGGATTCCACACCTGCCAAGAACCCTGAGCATAGTGGTTGGTCTCATTCGCCCACCACTTGGGTGCCTCAGCCGTAATGCTTCGACCTTGGTGGCCCACGATCCTTCTCCACGCTGGGTCACCCACCATGCCACCACGATCCATCGGAGTCGGACCATGGCGAGGCCCCAAGGGAACGCAAAAGCTGAGTTTTTTGCACCGTCCCAAAGTTACACTTAACCAAGTTATAATCTATTGCCGTTGCCTTTAAGCTGCCATGTTTGCCATGTTTGCTTTGCAAAAAGCTTTAACATTGGGGTTATCCAATCCTATGACTTGCTTGCTAAAGTTCTAAAAGTTGTGAGAGTCAGGCGCAATAGGCTGGGAGGAGAATGCGATTGCGCAATGATGCAGTTTTTGGCAAAAACCACCTCCACAACAACACCAACAACAACCGCAACCGCAACCCCAAACAACAGCAACAACAACAACAATAGTGACTATTACCACGACCACTACCACCACTACCACCACTACTACTACTACTACTACTACTACAACCACAGCAAGAACCACAAACAACAACAACAACAACAACAACTTTTCTTCTTCTCACGCACTCAGGGAGAGAGTAGCGCCGCCCTTCGGTCAATGCCTTGTTGACCGGACTCCAGGATCATATGATCGGAGATCGTTTGGATGTCACAAGCAATTAAATTTATCACCTGACCTCTGGAAACGTGTAGAGTCAAGGTGAAAGCGACCTAAAGTCAGTGGCCCAAGGTTCCAGGGGCACTTCAACCATCCTCTAGCTACAAGTGATCAGCACCGGAAAAGAAAACCGGAAAAGCTATCACAGCACTTCAAAATTCGCTAAAGGAAAACAGTCAGTCAAACAAATGACTTTTCCTCCCCCCTCTCAGGAGCGGCTGCAGGTCCGCGCGGCAGCCGCAGGCTCACTCATCAGCAAGGGGCGCAGGTCCCGCAGCCAAGGCGCGGGTGATGGAGGCATCAGCGTCTTGCAGGCGCTGAAGTAATTCACCCAAGGCACTGTCCTCTTCCAATGGTTGGCTCGGGGCAACTTCCTGCACTGCATGAGATTGAGGCCAAGTGGCGGTATCACTCCTGGAACTATTCTCCAAGGCACGGCCCTCAGAATCATCTCTCAAAGGCAAACCAAGCATGGGTCCAGGTGCATCCAAGTCCAAGCTAGGATGCGCAGCTGTCAGCCCCTCAAGAAAAGGCCGAGGCTCCCAAGACGCTTCCTCCTCAGGTGAGGCCGTGATGGCCTGGTCATGGGTGGGCACAGGGCAAGTAGTTCCAAGCGTCTCATGACCTAGGTTCAAAGGGACGGAGGAAGGAGTCAATCCTTGCATACCATCTGCATCCGAGTCTTCCAAATCCAGGTCCTGACATGGCAGGGTCCAGAACAGGACACCTCGGGTGTGAAAATACTCTGGGATGACCATGATTTCCTGAGGGCGTTGGTTGTCTTCACACAGCCACTTCTTCCCCGTGATGGGATCGATCAAAAGAGCACGGAAGTGTCCATGAAGCGAGTTCCCCAGATGCGCAACCACTGCCACTACACGATGAGATACCCAGCTGCGGGCCAGACCATCTCGAAGGAAGATCGGCAGCGAGAAGGGCTCCATGAACTCCACATGATGAAAATGACCTAACAGCCGAGTCGAGTCGATCAAGCGATCCAAGAAGAAGACTTTCAAACCTCCATGATGTGTGAAAGCAGTTGCCATCGAATGGCACTCAAGCCATGGAACCAGGAGGTCGGGCAGAGCAACTTTTTCCGCATCAAGTTCGTAGAGGTGGACCAGTGCCACGGGCTGAAAATCACTGCCAGCTTCATAGCAGTGACAGCCTTCTGAGTTCTCAAAGCGTCGCTCCCAAGCCTGAGAGATCTGGGTAGTACGACACCATGCCAGGGCCTCACTCACAAACTCAGCGATGTCCCTCTGTTCCCCTGAGGGTGTCCCCTGAAAGAGGTCTGTCAAAGCCGGATGGCTATGCAGAGCAATTGTCTCATCCACCCTTGTGGATCGAAGCAACCCCTGTGTGACGGTCCAGACGTGGCCATAGGTATATTCATTGAATGAGGCTGAGTGCACCGAGGTCCAAAGCAGGGTCACCAACCCCGCATTGGCATAGCACCAATTGGAATCGTTGGCGCATACCATGCTGCACAAGTCCCCTATCCATTGCCTTTTCATTTCTTCCCCCCTTGAGGTCGAAGGACCCTCTGAATGTCCTGTGCCAGCTTGGACCTCTGCAGTCCATGTTGTTTCAGCCTTGCGCCGATCAGGTGCCATAGGGCGGATCCCGTCAACTGGCGTAGGAGGCTCGAGAGGGAATCGTTGCGAAGGGATATCTGCAATTTCCAAGGAATGACCTCGCTCCGACTCTGCTGGGAAGCCATTGCGAAGAAGCGGACACAGTTGGCCGGTTCCAAGAATGCTTGCTGTATGATGCCCAAGTGTGCCTCCATGCTGGACCAGGAGATGGGAGCGGTCTGACTGATGACCAAGCGCTTGTGCTGAGGATGCCACATGAGGTGCGGGAAGCTGGAGTCTTCCAATATGGTCAGGCTCTTGATCGCCGCCTGCTTGGTGGAGTCGTCTGATAGCTGAGCTTTGAGTTTCTGGAACCGGTTGGTCAACTCGTTGATCACAGCCTGAATCAGGTAGGAGCGCAAGGGAATCATGGCTTGATCTGCAGGAAGGTCGTGCCATTGCTTTGCTGTGCGGAGCAGGAGGGGCAAGACTCCAGAGTTCCCCTGTTGGAAGAACAGCGCAAACGAGTCCTGCATAGAAACCGAGTTGAGGGAATCCTCGTGCCGAATCAGAAGCTGGCCCATCACCCTGCATAGTTTCATGACCTGACCATTCTCTTCGCTTCTCGTGGACGAGGTCGAGCTGCTGTGAGGAGAGGAGGGCCTCTGATGTTTCCTTCGTGGCTGTGACAGCAGGGCCACATCTCTCTGATGGCGCTTCTCCTGAGGAAGTTCCTGTTCCAGCTCGTCCGGTGATGCGAGCATATTTAAGAATGCTAGGCCCACTTGACTCAGCCGGTCTCCTTCTTGAACTGCCATCACTTCGTCCATCCTGATGATCAGGACGAAGAAGCGTCAGAGCACACCCGAGGTTGAGGAGTGATGCACACTTGTGTGTGAGAAGAGCCCACACACTGTCATCCTCTAAGGCATAGTCCTTGAGAGTGGTGTGGCACCAAGGGCATGGAAGTGGGTCACACAAGGCAGGCCGTTGAGCCAAGAGGAAACGGTAGAGCGCATGTAGGAGAAAGCCATTGTGTCCACTTTGAGATCGATGCTGTTGAAGAAGGTGTTCAAACAACTGAATGCCGGTCTCAAAGCTGCGTGAGCACAGTGTGCACGTGGTGCTGAGGGTCTGACTGTACCGAAGAAGGAATTCCCATGAGGTCTCGCCCGGGCACTGAAGCCACGGAGCCAGATCTGGGACCTGTGCATGCAGGGCGGCATGGAGCTGGATCAACTTGCGCAGGGATTCCGGAGAGATGGTCCAGGGAAGTATGAGCTTCCGATGTCTGGGGTCGAGCAAGTATTGGAGCATGGCCAGTTGTCGATAAGTGGGACACCGGTGGGATCTTGGCTGAGGGATCCTGCACGGATTGCAAATGCATGGCATCTTGGCTTCATCCATCAAATTGCTCATAAGATCAGCTTCTCTGTAGAATCCCCCATGATGGCATTGAAGATGCCGTACCAAGTCTGCTGTACGGGAGTAGGCTTGTCCACAGAAGGAACACATCATGGTCAATTGGTGTCTCATAGCTGACTCTCGGACTGCCTCCCCCCATTTGCCAGCCTTGATCAAGGGCATGAAGTAGTCGTCGCTTCGGAGAACCGTGCCAAGCTCCTGGTCACCAAGAGGGTCCAGTTGATCACAAGACCCACGATCGATATGGCGTCGCAATTCCCACAGCTCCCCAAAATGGCTTCCACAATGGCGACACACCGTGGTCCCATGGATCGTGTCCCGAGAGCAACAGAAACGAGGATGATCACCTCGGAGGTGTTGCTCAAGTGCAGCCCTGGTAGGAAAGAGTTCAGCACAATGGATGCAGACATGGTCCTCGAGTGTCCGATCAGCTGGTCCAGGTTGGGCATGTGATCGAGGTGCCTCAGTGGAGAATCGATGCCATTGGTGAATGACTGCCGCCTGAAGAAGAATCTTGCACTGATGAGAGGTGCTATACTGGACCTGACAGACATCACACGGAGAGCGTCGATTGGAGACCCAAGTGCGATATAGCAGTTGACTCGTCAACGCAATGTTGCCATGGGCCAATTGAAGATGGTGAATCATGTCAGAGAACCGTGATTGGTGCTTTCCACATAGGCAGCAGTGCGTGAGCATGTAGTTGCACAAGTCTTGTGAATGAGTGAGCTCATGCAAACTTGGATCTTGCACCAAAGGAACAATGCGACGTTGAATCTGCTCCACCTCCATGTCAAGGACCTGAGTGCCATCAAACATGGGGCAATTGAGGAATTCAATGTGGGTTCGAAGATTGGTCCACGACCCAAAAGTTTTGTCACAATGGCGACACTGAGGGAGACCAGCTAGAGCGTCTCGTTGCAGCCTGAACTGAACCAATCTAGCATGACTTCTACCATGGGCCATATGTTCATGTCGAGCCAAAGTGGTAGCGCTCTGAAACTCTCCAAGGCAGGTACGACACTGGAATCGCAAGGTCAATGGTGGAGAGTGCGCCTGCGAGTTGATCCACTGGTCCAGCTGAAGTAGCAACTGTGCAGTTTCACTAAACTGGATCTGATGTAAAATGTCTGTGGAGTCAAGCGTGTAGAGACGTGCTTCCCTGCCTTCCAGAGTGCGGACACAGACCCGTCGGAGAAAAACAGCAGGTGGAAGAATCTGATGTATTGCATGAAAATCTGCATGTGTCCGATGTGTGTCATGTGAATGATCACGCATAAACATTCTCTGCTGCAACGTGAGTTGAGAGATCAGCTGTCTGAGCCCTGCTGCACTGCACCCAACCACATGGAGATTGTACAAAGTGGTTGTTCTGACCACTGAACTCCACAATGATTCTTTCTGCTTGGAGGAGAGCCCCTTTTTTGAGCAGAGCCATGTTCGAAGTCGTCGGAACGCACGGAGCCCACACTGTAGTCGATGTTGGAGTGAGCTGCTCTGCATGGTTTTGTAAGACAGCTTGATCCCCAAATACGGAACAACAGTGTGGAGAGCGACTAGAGCGGGCCCCATACTTGTGCGTGGAAAACAAATGTGCCAGCCTTGGCTTGTTCGTTTAAGATGTCTGGCTTGCGCTTCCTTTGCGCAGTCCCCTGTAGTGACACCATGGAAAAACATTTCTGAATATTGATCTGGAGGTGGAAATCTTTCAGAATATCCAAAAGTACACCACAGTTGTGAGTAAATTCATTCAGATCATCCAACGAAAAGAGGGTCTGGTGCACCAAGAAGTCATCAGCATAGATGGTGATGTTCTGTGTGACCCAATTGCATGATGTACGCTCAGCTAGTCTGTGCAGAATGAGCGTCGTGAGACAACACCAGAGGAAAGGAGCAGCCTTGCAGCCCTGGCGGACTCCTCTGTACACAGGTATGGAAGCGGAGAAGCCTTTGTGACTGATGTCATAATGAGTCCCCCTGTGCCATTCATGTAACAGGTGTAAACAATCAGGTCGTACCCCAAGAGCAGCCATGCCCTGAAACAAGTGGCTTCTGGAAACACTGTCAAAAGCTTTACTCAAATCCAAGCTGAGGAGAGCTCCACCTACAAGAGAATGCCCAACCAAACCAGTTGCTTGCTTCTCCACTGGTCGTTGCGCTTGCCGTGCTAACTTTGCCACCATCAGACAATGCTCCGTAGCTCTGGCAATAGCATCAGCTGTGCCCCGAGACGGGAGGTATGCTAGTTGAGGGGAGTGGAACAAAGCGAGGGAAGCACCGATTGTCTAGCTCGTGCACCAACTAAACCAAGCACAACCTTGCCAAACACATCCTGGAGTGCTAAAGGCCTGAGGTTCTTGGCATCATTCGGGGGTTTGCCGGGTTTGGGAAGTAAGAACAAGTGACCGTTTTTCCACTCATTCGGAACAAAAGGAGAAGGTTGGTTCCACCATTGCATGAGGAGGGAGAACAGCTTCTGGGCACACAGAGCCGGACAACTCAAGATGCTAAGCGAAGCACAAGTCCCTGGTGCATTAGCTTTCAACGATGCCAGCTTAGCGAAAGCCCTCTCAAGGTCATCAGCACTGAATGGTACACCTGGGGCCCCCAAGGCAGGATACAATGGGAGTGGAGTGTCATGCCAAGTTGCTTGAACAAAGCATTTGATGTGCGTAAACTCTTCGAGTGGACTGAGAATCATGCCAGCAGCAGAGCGAATCTGTATGCGGGCAGTCTTTTCTTTGGGGCTGACCTTCCGAACAAGTTGATGCAATCTACTTAGATCCTGTCGATCAGCAGCCACACGTGCCTCAGACAGGAACTGATCAATACGATTCTGCCGGGCCTGAGTCGAAGCGGTCTTTTGCTCTCGATGGAGGCGCCTATGGTGGGTGATCCATTTTCAATACTCAAACACTGAACCGAGGTTAAGGCATCTGGGTGTGCGAATCAATCGATAAGTGGCCAGACAAGTGACCTGCCCAAGGTGACAGAGTCTGTCAGCAGTGGTAGAAAATGAATGAACAAAAATGTCATTGAGGTCTTGATGAAAGGATTGAAATTGACCATTACAGGGCCATTGAGTCCGAGCAAGGTGTGTGTAGGTCCTAGTCCGAAAGTTAGTCCATTCCTTCGTATTCTGGGACCTAGCAAGACGGCCTCGTGTCCGGTGTGCATAGCTAATGCTGCTCAGAGCAGCACCAGACCATGGCTTCCAAGTCAAAGTCATCGAACCAATCAGGGGAAGATGACCCTGAGTGGAGGTGCCCAGCAAGGGACAGCTCGGGATGGGTGCACATTGTTTGGCTTCATGGTCAATCTGCTTGAGGCGCGCGCAAACAAAGTCAATCCGAGAGCCAAGACCCTTAGGGCCATAAAAAGTGGCCGGGAGAGCCTGATTCATCGTGTTGAGTGCACACAATCCATGTTGGACAAGTATCTCCAAAAGACGTGCCTGGTCGGCTTGCGCAGGTCCTTCTCTGAGGACACCATCGCGACATCGGAACTGTGTACTGCCTACATTGGGTGTGTGCAATGACAGGCAAGTATTAAAGTCCCCAAGTAAAAGCAGGTTATTCCTAGTCGGCAGGGAGGACAGGCAATCATCCAAGGCACGAAAGACCTCATGTCGGTGTGCAAGATCTTGGGGGTTATTCTGATAGGTTTTCTGGTAGAAGTTCAGAACATCTAGAGGGCGGGCAAGGTGGATGCGGAGATGCAACAATCGGCCATCCCAAAGACTGCGCCAAGATATCTGGTCCAAGCTACACCAGGTCCTGCGTATAGCCAGAAGAACTCCTGTGGATTGTCGGGGAAGACCCCCAACTGCAACAAAGCGCCAGGTGTCATCTGACCACTCTTTAGTGTCCTGCCATCTAGTTTCCTGCAAGGCGAGGAGCTGTATAGGTTGTGGTTTGGCCCACAGGAGAATCTCGTCCAGCTTGGTGCGGCTCAAGCCACTGCAATTCCAGCTGAAAAGATGAAGACGGTTCCTCGAGTCAGTTCGTGGCTGGTAGGAGGGGCAAACCTGGGAAGGTGAGATGGATGACCGTTTCTGTTCAACGCTGGTACCAAGAGCTTTAGCGTCGAACAACTTGCCACGAAACCATGCATATCCTTCGAGTTGAGCTCTACGAACGGCTCGCTTGAAGCTGGGCTTGTGATTGGAGACCAATTTATGGTCTTGCCTATTGGGCGTGATGCCATGTAAAATTTTCGTAGCATAACCATGAGATTGGTGATTCCACTCATCTCTAGCTACTCCCGTGACACTCATGGCCGTGTCACAACCCTCACCTCTACTGCGGGTCTCGATGAATCTAGGTCTATCAGGAGGGGACCGCAGTCCACCGACTTGGGACGGTGGTTCCAGGGAAAAGGTGCACAGCAAAAGGACTAGGGACCAACCCGCTACACGAATGTGCATCCAGGGCCGCAGTGATCTGATGCAGGGAAATCTCCACGGACCAGGAAGGATAGCAGCTCGGCGCACAGTCAGCGTGCTCGTGTCAGCAGCCAGGGAAGCTGCCCATGTACGAGCACCGAGGGAATGGTCCGTCAGAGCAATCCAAGGTGCTCTTGTCTGGAAAGAGGCTTAACAACAACAACAACAGCAACAACAACAACAACAACAGCAACAGCAACAGCAACAACAACAACAACAACAACCCACAACAACAACCCACAACAACAACCCACAACAACAACCACAACAACAACCACAACCACAACCACAACAACAACCACCACCACAACAACAACAACAACCGCAACAACAACAACAACAACGCGACGTCTCACCTGTTTGCCCCTGCCACCCACCCGGCTGGCCGGGTGTTGAGCGCAAGCCCGCAGGTATGTCAACACCATGAACACAGTGTTCGAGCTGAGTGGGGAACTGGTGCCCGCAGAGACCGCGTACAACCTTATGTGGCAATCTTAAAGTCACGTTTGTTACGTGAACCTATTCTGAATTCATATATATAAGTCTTGGAATGTTCCTGCCCTGCCGCTTCGCGGACTGTTTCTTTCGCTTCGTTGTGGTTACCCCACTTCTTTTCTCACTTTTGCCACAGCGGAATTGCATCAAATAACACTGTGCAATGTAGAGGCCGGTGCCTAGCAGTTTGTGTTCTCATTGAGTTTCAGGATCTCCAGAGATGCAAAAATTATGATGGCTGAAATTTCTACCTACCTACTACAGCTCTTGATGCTTTTTACGTTTCCGTTCTCCACTACGACTTGTGTCATTGGCATTTCCAACACCTAGAATCGATTTAATCATGCTTAATTCTGATCAAGTTCAAGTACACCCTTTCACTGACAAGGCGATGCGAGCAGATTAAACAAAGCACTGTACTGTATTCAACATGGTGATGTGGTTTGAGTGCCTACAGGCTATCTTGCTCAGGCGCTTGGTGGCCGAAGGTGCAGGGGAGGATGAGTCAGCAGACACAGCCTTCAGGGTTTTTGCTGTCAATACCTACCTCAAGGCTGGAAGTGAAGGACATGGTTTGAATATTTTTCAAGGAGCACTGCACTTGCTAATGTTTACATTTACATAAAGTCCTATATGTCATATGTCCACTCTTTCTTCAACCAGCTCTTGCTCAGCTCCTCGAGAAGCCGACTTTATCGGACATTTTGGTTCAGGCTTGGAAATTTACTTGGCTTGCTGGCCAAACCTTTCAACTAGTTGGCCAACTCGTTGCCTCTTCCTTTTCGCCCCACACTCCATTCTCAGGTCATTGCCTGGGTACTTGGTGAGTATGCTAGACTGGCGACGATCGATGGTTACACGATTGAAGACATTGCTGACCTTCTCTCTGAATGCATCGAGCGCCCGCACGCTTTGCTCGCTTGGGAGAGTGGGAGAGTTCAAGGCGTCAGTGAACCTAAGTACGCCAGGTTTGAGGATCCATCCACGCGAGGCTACCTTGTGGGAGACTAAGGGTAGAACAGGGCAGGATGGTTGATCCATGTTTATATGTTTATCAGTGAGCCTATTTAGAGTATGTGAGTGTGTGTTGCAATTAGTTTCCTTTCAACATGTTCCTACGTACGTGCACGCTGTTTTAGATTTATGCTGTTTATTTCCAGAGTGTGGCTGTATGCAGGGCCCTGCACGTGTTCCCTTTGCAGGGCATTGAGCAGGTGTTGTTGTTGTTTACTTGCCACACAAGATGCCTAGTCTGCAGCGCAAATGCATCTTCTTTGTTGGTCCTGCTGCACCTCAATTGCCCAGAAGCCTCTTGTGACTTCTTACGGGGCTAGTCTTTGAGATCCTTTTCCACTTTGTCGTGGTGGTTAGTGGTAACACTATTGCCTCCTGGTTTGTTGGTACCCCAAACGGGCTGGGAAATTGCTTTGGGTCGGAAATGCCCCACATTGTTTCCGGCAGCTCTTAGACGAGGCCCAATGCTGTGGAAGAGTACCCATGTATGGTGTTCTTGCAACTTCACAGTTGCCTTCATTCAAGCTCTCATTCCAACCCGTTCCCTCATAAGAACAAGCAATGTCCCGGGGAAGTTATTCAAGACGACCGAGCCAGTGGGAAGAAAATCAGTTGAGTGTCGTGTGTGACGCTGCGTGTCTATTGTGAATCAGCGGATTGGTTTTGATGGCGATTTGTGGTGACTTGAACGAATTTGTTGTGATTTTGTTATCATTTCCAGTGCCCGGGTGGTTTGTGATGATTCTTGCGCGAATTCCTAGTGGTGTGTTTGTGTGTGACCATTGAAATCAAAGGGAGTCTTTCGACCAGTTAGCAGGGGCACACGGGAAGGAAAGGCTGATCACCTTCCTGCACCTGCAGATGTATCATATACAGTCTAATGCTGTGCTTTTGACACACTTGCGCTCGTCCTTCGATGCTTTTTTGGAAGCTTTGAGATTTGAGATTGGAACTCTTGGGCCAATTGAAGCTTTCACGGTCGGACACCGCTGACATTTGTACTTGGCCCTGTCTCTTTATGCCTCTTGATTGCCAAGGTTTCCTCAGGGCATGTGGCATGCAGACTATACATACTCCATCCTAAGCATGTCTCTCTAATGAGAGCCAGAGAGCTAGCAGTGTCCCCCCGTGGACCAGCTGAGCTGGTAGATGCAGTCTGTTGCCACGACGGTAGCATCTATATGAATGACGCAGTGAAATTTAGAACATGTGGATTTTAGAAAGCGCACTATTTTAGAACATCAGAGAAACGGCTATTTTGAAACATTGGAACTTAGAACATGAATAGCATGCTCTTAGAACATCGCAGCCAAATTTGCCCCCAATGTTCTAAGCGGATGGCTGTGATGTTCTAAGTACATGTTCCTCCCAAGGCCTTACGCAGTATACATAACTTAGAACGTCCACTGGATCCTGGATGCTAGGAAACCAGCTCCTATTGATTTCCTTCAACATTCCTTTTGATTCCTATCGATTTATTTTCGTATTCCTTTTGATTTCTATTCATTTCCTTTTGAATGCCTTGTGAATCCTATTGATTTCTTTTTCGACGTCCTTGTAAATTCCCATTGATTCCCTAGTTATATGCATACACCGTATACACCCCATATACATACATATATATATATACATACATCTTCAGGTTGCATGTTCTATCTTATATGTTCTGTAGGCGATTGAATGATTTTATACAAATCATACCAAACTTTTTTGATTTCTACTGATTTCCTTTTAAATTCTGTGTGTTTCCTATTCATGTCCTTTTACATGTCTTGATTCCTTCTGATTTCCCTGTAAATTACTTTTGATTCCTATTGATTTCCTGTTACACTCGTTTTGGTTCCTATGGATTTCCTTTTGGATTCCTATTGATTTCCTCTTCAATTCCTTTTGATTCCTATGGATGTCCTTTTGGATTCCTATTGATTTCCTCTTAAATTCCTTCCTTTTAAATTCCTATTGATTCCGATTGATTTCCTTGTAAATTCCCTTTAATTCTTATTGATGTCCTCTTTGATTTCATTGATGTCCTCTTTGATTTCCTTTTTAATTTCTATTGATTTCCTAGTTATAGTTAGATATATGTCCCTCATGTACACTCAAGCTGCTCACAGCGCTTTCGTGATCAAGTGTATGAACCCGGCGTTGACCTCGGGATTAGGAGCGGGAACTTCGCTCGCCCTTTGGACCCAGTTGTTGAGGGCCTTCGATTCGCCCGTGCCGCCATACGATTTGATCTGCCCGGCTGCTGGACTGACATTCACCTGCAGAGTTTGGTTCTGGGCATCCTCATTGGCCTCCTTTTAGGCCCTTTGCTAGAGGCAGCGGTGGCCTTCAGGCGTTTCCTGATTCAGGCTGCTTTGGGATCTGCTAAGGTGCGTGGATAGCCCGCTGATTCATTTGGAAGCCACAGTTCAGGTTCTCCAAGAGCAAATAGAGGCGCTGCAACTTGAGCTGAATCATTTGTGATCGAGGGTCGAGGTTAGGGTTCGTGCAAGGTCCGACAGCCGACCGAGTTCCGAGGTTCCACCATTTCCGCTTGTTCCCGAGAGCGTCTGCGAAGGGCTTTTCGTAAAAAAAGCATCTGTAGAACTACGTCTCATCTACATCTTCACATCTTCACATCTGCACATGTACATTTGCACATCTACATCTCTGCTCATCTTCACATCTGCACATCTACATCTCTGCTCATCTTCACATCTGCACATGTACATCTCTGCTCATCTTCACATCTTCACATCTGCACATAATCACATCTGTACATCTAAATCGTCACATCTTCACATCTGCACATCTACATCTTCACATCTGCGCATCTCACATCTGCGTATCCTGTCGCTCTTCTTTTCTTTCTCTCTTAAGGCCGGGGTCGGCGCCGCCGGAGCACCACGAAACGCAACCCTCTGCGGAGATCGTGCGTGTCGGGGGCGCGAAATGCAGGTGAGATCGCGTTTTGGATTTGGCGCGCGCAACCCTCTGCGGAGATCATGCGCGTCGAAGGCGCGAAATGCAAGTGAGACGGCGTTCCCGCACAACCCTCTGTGGAGATCGTGCGCGTCGAGGGCGCGAAATGCAGGTGAGATTGCGTTTTGGATTGCTCACGCTTCACTTTTGGAGGAAGTCTCGTACGAAACGCTCGTTTTGGAGACTTGGCGCTTCACTTTTGGAGGAAGTCTCGTCGAAACGCTCGTTTTGGAGACTTGGCACTTCACTTTTGGAGGAAGTCTCGTACGAAACGCTCGTTTTGGAGACTTAGCGCTTCACTTTTGGAAGAAGTCTCGTACGAAACGTTTATTTTGGAGACTTGGCGCTTCACTTGTGGAGCTGGACTCAGGCCTGGCCATTTTGTAGTGCGCATGTAGTGCGGGAAAGAGCTTTTCGGAGCTGGACTCAGAAGTGGCCAGGTTGTAGTACAAATGTAGTACGGGAAAGAGCTTTTCGGAGCTGGGCTCAGACCTGGCCAGTTTGTAGTGCACATGTAGAACGGGAAAGAGCTTTTTGGAGCTGGACTCAAAAGTGGCCAGTTTGTAGTGCAAATGTAACGCGGGAAACAGCGTTGCGGAGCTGGACTCAGAAGTTTTTTTGCTTCTAGTGTGATATGATTGCTTCTAGTGTGTGGGCCGAAATTATGTTCGTGATGTCGCAGTGCCATGCGGATTTGCGAGGTCTTGGTGGGAAGCGTGTTTGCGTGGCGCCGTGCCACTGGAGAGCGCGAAACATGCTGATGTTTATAAACGCGGCGTGTCGCTGGTGAGGGGGATGATTGGCGGTATCGTGTGATATGATTGCTTCTAGTGTGTGGGCAGACCGTGTGGCGAAATACGTCCCTGATGTCGCAGTGCCATGCGGACTTGCGCGGTCTTGGTGGAAAGTGCGTTTGCGTGGCGCCGAGCCGGGAGCGCGAAACACGCTGGTGTAAACTCGGCGTGTCGCTGGTGAGCGGGATGATTGGCGGTATCGTGTGATATGATTGCTTCTAGTGTGTGGGCAGACCGTGTGGCGAAATTACGTTCGTGATGTCGCAGTGCCATGCGGACATGCCGGTGTAAACGCGGCGTGTCGCTGGTGAGCGGGCTGACTGGTGGTATCGCGTGATATGATTGCTTGCAGTGTGTGGGCAGAACGTGTGGCGAAATTACGTTCGTGATGTCGCAGCACCATGCGGATTTGCGCGGCCTTGTTGGTGGAAAGTGCGTTTGCGTGGCGCCGTGCCACTGGGGAGCGCGGAACATGCTGGTGTAAACGCGGCGCGTCGCTGGTGAGCGGGATGATTGGCCATGATTGCTTGTAGTGTGTGGGCAGACCGTGTGGTGAAATTACGTTCGTGATGTCGCAGCGCCGTGCAGATTTGCGCGGCCTTCGTGGAAAGTGCGCTTGCGTGGCGCCGATCCACTGGGGAGCGCGAAACACGCTGGTGTAAACGCGGTGTGTCGCTGGTGAGCGGGATGATCGGTGGTATCGTGCGATATGATTGCTTCTAGTGTGTGGGCAGACCGTGTGGCGAAATTACG